TATTTATTAAATTTGCAGCCCACCCTTCCTCTCAAATTACCCCTAACAAAATCAATATTCTCTTTTTCTTTTTCTTCTTCTTTTGTTTGGATTCCTATTCTGCAGTAAGGAATTAAAATAGATCAAAATTTTACAAAAATGCACATTAGCACAGACTTCCAAGTCAGTGATGAAAACTGTTAACAACCCTCTCTATTCTTCTTTAAAAAACAAAACAAAGATAAACACCCCCCCCAATGGTTGCAAGGACTGAATTACTACAACCATCTTTTAATTTCCAGAGCTCTGTTGTGAAAAAAGGGGAAGAGGAAATTACATTTCCCAGGTATAATTATGCCATTGATGACTGCCATGTGGTGTACAAAGAAAGAAAAACCTTAGTGTTAAGTGCCAGGAATATATATATCTGTACGTAGTACTAGTCTCACCTAAATGTGCTTGTTCCTTGTGCAGTTCTTACAGTGATGAAACAATGGGAAAGGGCAGCTAACCCAGACTACGTTTCCTAATAGTAAGATTTCACATGCTGCACATGTTGGTGACTAAGGGAAATGCTGAACCCTTTCTAGCCTTCTGAGATCATTCCCGAGGTTCACTTCTGCCTTAGTTTCACAGTGGCAGAAAGACTAACAATACTACTACTTAGGCCTTATTTAAATATTACCTTTCCTACATGGAAGCCTCTAGAAAGTCACACCATCTGGCCACATGTCCCACAGTATGCATGATATTTGAAAGCCCCTTAATATGAACATTGGCTCAGCTATGAATCTATGTTTAGGACTGTGTGTCTCTGTACCTAAGTGGTGCAACTTTCTTCCTTCCGAGGTCCATTGGCCTCCCTTGCAATCTGTTGCCCACCTAGTCTTGGGCAGGCTTTTCCCAGAGCATATATATATGAATGAATTCTGGTTCAAGTTCAACATGTCCAGCAAAGGAACTAGTTCAGGATCACGTCCATCCCTTTACAAAATGAATTACCATCCCTCATACAAACCTGCCTAGGTTCTGATATCTTTGGAGGATAAACTTTTCTTGATCCCACCATCCACAAGGAATGCTTGGTAGGGACACAGAAAAGGGCCTTCTTGGTGGCTGCCCCCAGACTTTGGAACTCCCTCCTTAGAGAAGTTAGCCTGGCTCCATCCTTGTTGCCCTTCTGCCAGCAGGAGAAGATTTTCTTATTCCAACAGGCCTGAATCACAAATTAAAACTTGACCTCTGATTAATCAGATAACAAAGACTCCTGGAATCTTTAGCCACAAAAAGAAAATGTCTATTACCACCCAGCACTGGGTTAGATTAAAAGAAACTTGATAATGTCTTTTGTTTCCTGTTTGTATCCACAAATGTTCTAGATGAAACTGCTACGATTTTCCTTCTAGCAATAAATGTCACAGGCAACTGAAGCTGAAACGAAAATTTACACTAATCACCTTTTAAACCTGCGTCTTTCACAATGCTAAACAAACTTAAAATAGTAATTAATTTCTCAGGTCCAGATTACATTTATTAAATGTTGTATATTGATTATTGGAAACTGATCAAAATACACATAGATTCACATTCTCTTTTCTGCTACTAGTGCCTTCACAGGTTAATTTCACACACATACACATACAAACGAACCCTCTTGTTTACTCTCAAGGAATCATTATGGCTGAATGTATAATTTCTGATGATACACACACCCCAACAAAACAATGCATGCCACAGCATAATGTGGTTTGGCATTATAGGGCAAGCTACAAATCTAAATGAGCTGAAATAAGATATATATACTCTCTGAGCCAGCACATCATATTGTTATGTCCTGTGGTCCTGATACAATGATGAAAATCTATCCAAAGTTAACCACATTCAAGTCTTAATGATTTAATGTGATGTCTTTGAAATCAAAGGAATTTACAGGAGCACAATTTTGGCTGAGCATGGTCCTAAAACTGTTTCCAACTTTTGTTTGTTGTATATGTTCTTACATGTGTGCAAGCAGATCACATTAAAAGCAGTGCCAAACTGTATTATGTGGATTACATGTTGGAAAAAGCAAAACAGAAAATGTGTAGTTTTATATTTATATTTTTAAAAGCATTTCATTAATTAAAAAAAATAAACCAAAGATAATGAACATAAAGAAATACTATTACAGCAGACGGAAAGCAGCATATGGTTGAACATTATCATTGAACTTTTTGTTCCAAAATATTACAAAATAATACAAATTTTTCCATAAACTTGTTAGGCTGGTTTATATATATTCTTTTATAAAAAGTTAGCTTAATCACAATTACTGTGGACCAAATTTTCTCAATCCATTCAGTTACATTAAAAGATATGCTTCTCCCACCCCCAAATCTTTAGCTATTATAATCTTAGCAGCAGTTATAAGGGTAAACACAATTTCTTGATCATTTTCTATAATAATACCTTTTAGTTAACCAAGCAGAAATATTTTAGGTTCCAAGGGCATGTGATATCCCAACATAACAGAGATATTAGCCTGAACAGATTTCCAGAAATATTTCTATTTGAGAACAATGCCAAAAGATGTGTATGTAATCTGCTTTCTTGAATCCATGTCTCTTGAACATTTATCCCATCCTAATTTATGTATCAAGTTCTTTATTTTGTTGTTGTTTAGTCATTTAGTCGTGTCCGACTCTTCGTGACCCCATGGACCAGAGCACGCCAGGCACTCCTGTCTTCCACTGCCTCCCACAGTTTGGTCAAACTCTTTACAGTGGTGCCTCGCAAGACGAAATTAATTTGTTCCGCGAGTTTTTTCGTCTTGCGGTTTTTTTCGTCTTGCAAAGCACGGTGTCGGAAAAGTTTTGGAAAAGCTTCAAAAATCACCAAAGTCTTCAAAAACCTCAAAAAAGGCTACCACACCACGTGCTATGAGTTGCTCCTCGAAGTCAAGTTGCAACTGTATTAACAGTGTTAAGAAAAAGGAAACAAACTTGCAAGACGTTTCCGTCTTGTGAAGCAAGCCCATAGGGAAAATCGTCTTGCGAAGCAACTCAAAAAACCAAAAACCCTTTTGTTTTGCGAGTTTTCCGTCTTGCGAGGTACCACTGTATTTTAATCCTGCATTAAAAACTGGATGATTTTACCTGTTGAGTGAAGCATAGATGTGCCCTTCATGGGCACTTTATAATGGCAATGCTTCTTTAGCTAACTTTAAGTTCCATTTGTGTCCCCTGATGTATGCTTTCCTGTGATGTGGGAGAGGCATGCAGCAGACAATGAACAGTTGCAGGCTTTGTGACTTAGATTTTAAAAACTGCTTGGGACAGCAGTGTTGTGCCTGATTAGATCATGCTGCGTAGGCAGGGCTGGTGTCTAGCTGGGAGGCTTTTGCTTCCATCAGCTCCCTTCTCTTTTCTATTGGTCAGCAACACAAATCTTTTAATACCACTGGGTGACAAGCAGCAAGCAACATAGGCTTGATTGCCCTGGGACTTGGAATCCTCCATTCACAATCATAATCAACCATCACAGTAAAAGGTAAGGGACCCCTGGATGGTTAAGTCCAGTCAAAGGTGACTATGGGGTTATGGCGCTCATCTCGCTTTCAGGCCAAGGGACCCAGCGTTTGTCCACAGACACCTTTCCAGGTCATGTGGCCAGCATGACTAAACTGCTTCAGGTGCAATGGAACAGCGTGGTGGAAACCAGAGGGCATGGAAATGACGTTTACCTTCCTGCCACAGCGGTACCTATTTATCTACTTGCACTGGCGTGCTTTCAAACTGCTAGCTTGGCAGGAGCTGGGACAGAGCAACGGGAGCTCACCCCATCGCTGGGATTTGAACCGCCGACCTTCTGATCGGCAAGCCCAAGAGGCTCAGTCGTTTAGACCACAGTACTACATTCTTCTATACAGTAAACGGCCTATTGCATGTATTTGTATGGACTTGCCTCAACACAAACACTACAGCAATGCATAAAGGCACTCTACTACTTCAGACCAGTGCATTTAGATCAGGTCCTCTACCTTCAAGGATTATCTGAACTGTAGGACAGAAGACCTAATTTATGAAAAATAAGCACCTGCATGAGGAAGGCTTGCAGCTGCACGGTACCGCTGCCTTGCATGTGGAAGGTCCCAGGTTAAATTCCTGGAGTCTCTAGGTAGGACATGGAAAGATGGCCTGAAATCCCAGAAGTTGCTGCCAACCAATACAGTGGTACCTTGATACTCGAACAGATTATTTGAACAAATCGGCACCCGAACGCCGCAAACCCAAAAGTAAGTGTTCTGGTTTGTGAACGTTTTTCAGAAGCTGAACATCTAATGTGGCTTCTGCTTGAGTGCAGGAAGCTCTTGCAGCCAATCGGAAGCCGCACCTTGGTTTTTGAATGGTTTCGGGAGTCATACTGACTCCCAGAATGGATTAAGTTCAAGAACCAAGGCACCACTTTATAGACAATAGCTAGATTGACCAATGGTCTGACCAGCTTTCTATGTTCCTAAACTAAATTAGTTTCAATATTATTTTTCTTTAGGGAAGGGCTGTGGACCCCTGGCTGAAACTCGGGTGTATAGATAATACTGAGATAGATGGGCCAGTGGGCCAAATCAATATAAAGAAGCTTCTTATGTTTCCATAATCTGAGAAAATACTAGTTCTCATCTTGTTATCACTGTGGAGACTCCAGATTCTATGGGAATGATAGGGAAGATTACCTTAGTTCAAGATCTCATCCTTATTTCAAAAGAAAAAAAGAGAGAGGCTTAAATGGTTCTCATGCTCCTCAAATCAATTAACTGCTAAGGGATGGTTAAGGGCTACCTACATTGCAAAACAAATGCTAGTAATAAAACAAATCTAAATGAACAAGTGGGAAGGAAGGGCTTCTCTTTATAGCTGCCTCTTGCAAAGGAAAACTTGAAATGCTTAGTTAAAAGAAGGAAAAGGAGACAGGTTTGTAAATGATTGCTTTTGAACTGTAGAGTTTCTCAAACACACACCTTTCCTTCAGGCTGAAGGAATACTGGCGGCCCAAATGGTAGAGGTAATTCTCAAAGGATTATTTTTTTAAAAAAATCCTTTGAGAATTACCTCTACCATTTGGGCTGCCAGTATTCTGCCAGAGACATCAGCAGGAAAAATTTCTGTTTCTGTTGTGATAAAATCTAGCAGAAAAGTGGATTAACCTGAGTTTTGAATGAGATCACTCCTTCTGAAAGTGAACGCAGTAGTGAAAGCATCGTGCTGACAGAGGTGGAGCCAAGATGACGGATGCTGAGAAGCAGGAGGGAGATATAAGCATTCCTGGGGAACGTAGTGGGATTTGCAGGTTTACAAAATGTATTTTTAAATAAATAAAAAATCAAAGGACCACAAACTGCTTCCAAAATAGCCTTCCCTGGCTCAGTCCTACTGAGCTAAGTATCAGGTGGGGAGGAAAATGGAAAAACGGGGGTGGGAGAAGTGGAACACCTTGTCTGATTTGTTGTTGTTTAGTCATTTAGCCATGTCCGACTCTTTGTGACCCCATGGACCAGAGCACGCCAGGCACTCCTGTCTTCCACTGCCTCCCGCAGTTTGGTCAAACTCATGCTGGTTGCTTCGAGGACACTATCCAACCATCTCGTCCTCTGTCGTCCCCTTCTTCTTGTGCCCTCAATCTTTCCCAACATCATGGTCTTTTCCAGGGAGTCTTCTCTTCACCTTGTCTGATAGCTCCTGACAACTTAGTTTCTTTGCGGGGGACACGTTTGGAACCCTGAACAGGAGCAATCCTGTTAGGACATCTGTGGGCAGCCTTTGTCCCTCCAGATATTGCTGAACAACTCCCATCAGCCCTAGCAAGCATGGCCAATGGTGAGGGAAGATGGGGGTTGTAGTTCAGCAACATCTGGAGGGACACAGGTTTCCCACACCTGTATTAGGAGATGGGGAGGACACACAGTAACATTTTTGGTGAGGAACGGTGCTATAGTGCTTTAACTGAGTTTGTTCCACTCTTGATGTTGTGCATAGCCCACACATTATTCCTTCTCATTGTGATTGTCCCATTATCTTTCAAACGGTGTGCCTGTTGTTGATTCAAGTTCCAGAAAGCGGTTCCGTTCCATTTTCACATTGTGGTGTGGATTCTTCTTTGAAGAAAACTGCAGTTTTGTGCCATACAGATGGATATATGTACCAAGAACAACCTTCCATTGTTAGTGTAATAAATAAGTTTTTAAATAATTTAACTGTTTAGCTTGCTCCTAGCAGGTGCAGTCTAGCATGCAAGCATGCGTGTGCGCACACACACACACTAAACACAACTTCTAATTGTTAATGAATTTAATAATTCATGAACTACAACTGAATTTAACTATTTTGTTGTCTCTTTGAGGGCTTTAATTTTTGTTTTTTAAATTAATCATATGCTATGCTTAAATTTATCTTTGCGTTATAACAGGGTTTTTTGTCTCAATCTTCATAAAACGTTGATTGCCTTTGCATTTTACTGGTTTTAAATTTGTAAGTCACTTCTCGGCTCTGGCCTGGAATTCATCATTGCTAAATATCTGTTGTGCCACTTCAGATGTTTCCAAGAGGCAGAAAATCCCGCTGAGCTCTGCAGGATTATATTGGAGCAAAGATTTTAATGCTACACATTCCTCTGACCAGAGTCTTGATATCAGCGCATTGTGTAGCTCTTGAGATATGTGCTGTATAAACAATTAAATGGATAAGGGCTTTCTCTGTATCAGTTTACTTTAGGACAGTTCCTCCTTCCAAGCTTTATCAAGTAAGTGTTTCTCTCTCTAAGAGAGAGAGAGATAAGATTTTGTGGATCAGAACAACTAAAAAACAAGTATCCTTAAGTCCATAAGAGGAGCCTTGTTGGATCAGGCCAAAGGCACATCTAGTCTGACATTGTGGTCTCCCAGTAGCCAGCCAGATGCCTATGGGAAAGCTGGAAGCAGGACCTGAACATGAGTGCACTCTCCTTATTTCTGGGATCCAGAGGCAGACTACCTCTGGCAGTGGAGGGAAAACTTAGTGCTCTTGGTTAGCATCCATTGGTAGTCTTATCCTCCATGAATTTGTCCAGCCTTATTTTAAAGCCATCCAAGTTGGTGCCCATCACTACATTGAGTGGGAGCAAATTCCATAGTTTAACTATGTGATGTGTGAAGAAGTCCTCTCTCTTGCTTTTTGTTTTATCGTGAAATAATGATAAGCCAAGTCAGATCTGTGGAGGAGAAGGAAAAGCCCATTATAGCCAAGTCCAGACTTTCAACTGTAGCATCATCACCATCATTTATATAGCATGTTCTAAGTGTTGGAAGTGTTTCATGTGCACTGTCTCCATAGTATTTCCTATATTTTGAATTGTAATCATCAAATAGGTTTACATAAATAGGTCCATATTTACTCATAACTAAGGTATATTTTTAAGCATTTCATAACATATCCAACTCACCTACTTTCCAATTGACAGTTGTCCTTTATTAACCTAAATAAATGAACTTATTACTCATTAATTTAATCTAATGCATTACACCTAAGAAAGCATCCTTACCACAATACCTAAAAAAGAACCCAGAATTGTTCTTTCTAAACCATTTTTCTGCTTTCTTTCTGTTTCTCATAATTAAAATTGTGTTTCATTTTCCATTCCATTTCTTTTGGTACTCTTCTGTTCCCTCCCCCAGTAAGGATTAACTAAAATATAGCTACCCACAACAAATAATATACTCATTCATTCTCAGTTTCTGAATCCAGTTCCATTCATATTCCCCAATAGCATTTAAATGTAGTATAATAGGATTTCCATTTCTGTTAATTTCCTCGATCTTCCACAGTAGCATTTACAACAGCTCTACAAGGTAAGCCAAATATTGTCCCCCATATTGCTGATTGTGACTGAGGCTGGAAGAACCATGGCTGAGCGAAAAAACTGTCCGGTGGATTCAGCGATTGTGAGACTGCCTGTGCAAATTACCCAGGGGATTGCTATCCTTGTGGTCTACCTGTGAGGAAGACCAACACTTTCATTTGCCTTGAGAGCTCTGTTGGTTAGAGCATAGTGCTGATAATGCCAAGGTTGCAGGTTTTATCACCTTATGGCCAGCTGGATATTCCTGCATTGCAGGGGGTTAGACCAGATGATCCTCAGGGTCCCTTCTAACTCTACAATTCTATGATTCGTCTATGATTCTTCCCTGCCCTCCATGTTATTATGTTACCAGAAGGCCTCCCCTGTCTGGATCCAGGCAGCGGTGAGGGATTTATGGCAGTGGGTGTTGTCTGTGCAGGGTAGCACCTTCCCATTTCATCTCAGGTGGCAAAGTGGGATGGGCCACCCCTGCAGGAAACTAAATGTGAGACTCCAGGAACATGGATCACCAAGAATCCAGAAGCAGCAATATGGAACCTGAAATGATAGCTCCTTCTGCCATGTGTGAGGTCCTCTAAAAGCAGTGTCTTCAAAGGCCTAGAAGATCACAGGCCTAGAAATCATTTTGGTATGTAAGCAATATATAAAGAATATTGTAACAGCTGCTAGATGACCTTTGACAGGAGGAGTCCATATCAAATGACCAGGATAGTTGGTAGAAGTTTCCTCCGTGGGAGCTACTGGTTAGGCAACAATCGGTCATCTGGATTTTTTGTAATATTTGGTTCATTTCTTAAGTACGTAATCAGAAGACGTCTGCATGGTCCTGAATTCAACCTATTGGATGAATTTATAGTAGTTAAAAGTTGCAAAAGTAAAGGGAATTTTTTGAGAGAAGTGGGGGGGAAAGGTGGCTCAGTGGGTGGAAGTCTGGAAACCTTACAAATAGCAAACCTACATTTTCAAAGAAGACTTTCCTCCAGAACAGAGGCATATACAATTCAGGAATTCAGCCTCAATTATAATTCAGAAGAAACGCCAATGGTTTTAATTCATCCAAAACTGTACTCTGAGGAATTATGCATATGTAAGTGGATTTTCTAGTGGGTAGATCGAAGTCATACTTTATAATTCTTGCATGAACTTTATGATCTTTGTGTTTCCATTTAAGCAGAGTGGATACTGTCCTCTTGATGGACTAGGGCTGCCTTAAAGTTTATTAGTTCATGACTACTTTGTCACAGTGCACCAGATTTGTTGGTGTGAATCTTCTCACCCAAAAAATAGAAAAGTAGTGATGTTCATCATCATCACCATCATCATCTTCATCATTTTATTTGTATGCTGCCTTTCCATAGCTGAAACTATGCTCAAGGCGGCTTACAGCATGACAAGATTTGCATAATTACAAACATAAAAGATATATATATATATATATATATATATATATATATATATATATATATATATATATATATATATATATATATCACACATCAAAGAGTACACAACCTAATGGAAACAATTTCCACATAAATCATAAGATCTAAAACTAAAGATACAACAGTAATATCAATAAACAATACTCCAGCCCAAGAATCTGTTAAACAGCCTCAGCTTTCGTAGCTGGAGTCAGTCAGCACTCCACTCTCCCAGGCCAGATAGGAAAGGGTTAGTAAGGCAGGGGGCAGGTCTTCCAGGGCTCACAGCCAAGATGGTCTCATTTAAAACAACACAGATAAAAAATTAAAACAATTTAAAAGAAGGGTCCTCGATGCTAAGCAGCAGCCACAGTCCTTGTGAAGCCTGTCAGGCCCCGCCCCAAGCCAGGTGGAAAGAGGCAGGGCGGGGCCCTTCAGGCCCTCAGCAGGCGGTTATGTTGGCCCATAAGGGAAAGAAAATCCAAAAATCATATTAAAGCAATGCCTTTATTAGACCAATCAAAAATATTGTACAACAGCTTGCAAGGCTTTGAATTCTCCAGTACTTGACATCCGGCTAGATGGAAAGAGACTCAGCTAAAAGCCAGTCCTTGTGTTTTCAGTGATGGAAAATGAGCCATTGATATGTCTCTTGTTTCCAGCAGGCAGTGGTGCGACCTGATGCTGAACAACCATTTTGAAAGTCTGTTCCCTCCTCCCCCAATTCCATCTGAAGCTTTATGACCACATGCAGACTCCATGACTTCAACGTCAGCAAAACAAAAACACTCCATGCTCTCTCCCCATCCCCACCCC